AAAAAAAAAAAAAAAAAAAAAAAAAAAAAGCTAACTGACGTCCAAACGTTTTTGCTCCTGACTTTTGCAAAAAATGAACGCTGAAAGGGCTGAAGCGAACTCGAGGCTTCTGGAGCTTTCGAAGAGGAACCTGGAAAATGTAGGATCTCCGTTGTGTGTCTCCCCTTTCGCTAGTACACGCGCAGACATATGTTTCCATCCGTATGCGCTCATTCCCCGTACACACACATTACATGGATGCGTGTCTGTCTTTCCCCCCTTTGGCAGAAAACGCAGAAGGAGCTGGAACAGAAACAGAAGCAGGAGTACGAATACATGGGTTGAGCTGTCTAGCTCCCTTCCCCTTAATGAAACACACACAACCATTACACCTATACATGATTGTGCACGTGCACATGCTTTGCTTAGCTGTCTCGTGCAGTTCAACAACTGTGCTGAATGATGTTTGCCCATGTATGCCCAAATGAGCACACTTCACTCGTAACGACTCGAATACATCGCATTTTTCATTCATTGTGATAGGGAACAGCAGGAGCAGAGGAGGATCATCATGAAGTCCCTGCTAACCCCGGATGCACACGCACGATGTAAAGAAAAAGGAGTGTTCTTTTAAGAGTGCTGGGCTGGAAAAGAGAGGCAACATCGGAAAGACTAACGCCTGCGACAAGTGTAACACAATGAGCAAAAGTATAATGCAATTTTGACTCAGCCGAACCGCTCACCACTTTTACTTTTTAGTGTCAAGGATAGCCATTGTGAAGGAAGAGAAGGCCAGGCGAATCGAGGACATAATCATAAGGGTAACAACAAAAGGGGGAGGAAAAAAAAAAAAAAAAAAGTGATGCACACAAAAAAGGGGACATGAAAGGAGTTAATTTAAGAGGACGTGTATAATGGCTCTTTCGCCAGCCTTGTAAAAAAACGGGGTCTTTTCCAACCTCTTCTTCTCATCGTATCGCATTAATTTAAAAAAAAAAAAAATGCCAACGACCAACGTTGCAATGAGATGGTGAAGTAATCACATGTGCACATGCCCCATATGTTCCTACCATTTGTTTTTCCCCTCTCTTTCAGAATAGCCAAATGGGTCTGCTTCACAGAAAAATCGATGACGAGCAGCTAATTAAAATTATCGAGGTTTGTTTGCGCGCAATTGGGTGTAAAGCATGGATGTGTTGTAGATCTGCTTGCTTGCTTTTTCTGTTCGCGTGTTCCGCTTTTTTGCCGTGCGCACATGCACACCGTTGTAGCGTCTCATTTGTTTTTCTTCATTTTTTGTTTGTTCCGCTGTTTTATTTGTTTCATTTTTTTCCCGACATCACTCATTCCCCTGCAGCAAGTGAGCGAAAAGATTTACAAAAAGGAACCAGTTATAGAAGTAAGTCAGCGTAGAAAGTTCGAATGAGTGTGTATATGTGTATGCAAAGCTGGGCAGGAAAAAAAAAAAAAAAAAAAAAAAAAACTCCCCTCCACGTCAAGTCATTTTCCATCTTTGCTGATGTTTCCCATGGTCAGAGCCCCACCCACGCGTACATGCGTGCATATTTCGTTGCTCAAAAGAAAAAAGTGACATACATAATTCTTTCTGTGCAGATAAGACGAAGGAAACAGTTTGATGACGATGATGACTTCAACGAAGAGGACTACACGTAAACGCACGCAGTTGCAACGTGGATAATTTTTTTTTATATGATGTGCAGAATAAATTCAAGCTTCGTTGCTGCCCGTGGCTTGGTTGTATGAAAAAAGAAGGGGAAAAGGCCGAACGGTTAAAATGACTTTTATCAAGTTTTTTTTTTCCCCCCCCCCCTACTTTTTTTAATTTTTGTCAGTATATGTTAGTTTATCTCAAGCATATTATTCTTTCCATTCCCCTCTATTTCATTTTTTTCTTTTTCTTTCGTTTTTTTTTTTTTTTTTTTTTGCGATTTCGGGCCCTCTGCGTTTTGTGTTGTCCCCACACGCTTTTGCACATTTTACGCACAACTTTTTTATCCCCACCCCCCGAAAATTAACAACCAAGCATTTTAATTAATATGTTGGTCCTGTTCTACCTCGCGTTGTAAAGAGTATGTGTCTCGAGAGGATTGTCTACTGCCCTTTTTTAGCGGCCTGTCTGGGTAGACATTGCCTCTTTGCCTGATTTAGCCAAAGTGAGATGACGCCAAGAAAAGGCACATCGCAAGGCTTTCCTTTTTCTGTCCTGGTCCCCCTTTCCGCCACCCCCCCTGTGGACGCTTAAATAGGGTCATTTTGGACGGGGAAAAAAATATTACCCCATTTGTGGATGCACAAAAAAATATGTGGCACCATCTCAGGTTGCAACGCTCTCACCCCAAGTCATACGATTTGCTTCCCTCGTCCGAGTCCTCCCTATTAACCAAACATCAATCCTTGCGTGCTTCCGCTTGTCTTCCGCCCCCCCACCATGAAGGGCAGAGCTCACATTTGGTTTGCCCTCCTGTTGGCTTGCCTACCCCCGCGTTTTAAAAATTTAGACAAGGACGTTCCTTCCCCGGTATGTAGAACGGACGACGTGTACACGGGTGATGCCTTTTACCCTTTCAAGAAAAAAAAATACATCCTCTATGATGTGAACATAGGAGAAGGCTTCAATGTATGTTTTGACCATGGGGTGAGGGATTTGGGCGGAATTTTGGCAGCGATTGGTAGAAGTGGGTGACTCGCTCAGAAAGGGAGATCCCCCAGAGGTTTTGCGCCGTGCCCCGCGTGGTGGACGCATTTCATGTTAATGCTACGTAATGAGTAGTCCACTTTTGCTCATGTTTACACCGCTTCGCCCACCCACTCGCAGCTGCAGAAGGAAGTACTGTACCGGGTCGCGCTGGCCGTGTACTACCTCAACCAGGCGGAGCGGACACAAGTGCATTATCTTGTGTTACCTCCCTGGTGCTACGTCACCCATTGGGGAAGGGAGAAAAAGGACAAGAAAATGAAGTGGGGCGTTTTCTTCAATCTTAAGGCTCTACAAAATGTGATCCCCGTGATGGAATACACTGAATATGAGGATCAGTTTGGGCCACACGCGGACTACATCCTTTCGTATCGACATGTCATTGGAGATTGGTCAAAAGGGGTGGAAAAAAAAAGCTTCCAACTTGTGGACATGGATAAATGTCAAGTGAAAAATTACAAATTGAAAAAAAATTCATGTAAAAATTGTGACCATAAATATTCAGTTGTATATTCAGGAAATTGCACAAACGTGAAAGGAAAAAAAGCAGAGTGTTTAGAATTTTTTTTTATAACTAGCTATTTTGTAAGTTCTACGCTTTCAGACATATTTCACTACGACACGGATTCTGTCTTAATTAAAAATGGCAACAACATCCTGGTGGCTTTCGTGAACGAATTGATGGAAGCCAATTTGGAGGATGTTCTTCCATACAGTGAATATTTAATAAATGAGGGAAACCAGTTTGTTGAGAAAATTTTCAAGTCGAGTAATAATTACATAAGTTGCCATCTGAGGTATACAGACTTTAAGAAAATCTCCACATATGACGTGTCTCCTGTAGGCATTTCTCTTTTAAAATTGCTTTACATTATGTTTATGCGAAAGAGCAACATCATTTTTGTATCAACTGATGAGAAAAAACAAGTTAGAAAAGTGATAGCTAGCCAATTTCCTCAATTTCAACATTTTTTTTTTTTTTACGAAAATGAAAAGTTGCACACAGGACAGGTTGCTATCGTTGACCAATGGATTTGCACACGTTCAGAAACATTTGTGGGGAATATTTTTTCCAGATTCAGCATGCACATAAAATGGGAGAGATCTTTAATTGGTAAGGGTGGGCCGGATCACAATTTGGATCTCTGCGGTTACAGCATTAACACCGATCAGGGGTTGCGTAAGAAGTACAGCGATATTCAAGAGGCCCACCTGGATGAGGAGGCCTTGGAGAAGATACGCCCCTTGTACATACGCCTTTCGGAAAAAGATAGGAACTACCTCAGGACCATTTGCTACGACTCTACGTATCACTACCCCCAGAATGTGAGCATCTACCGGAGGGGGTACGTGCCCGACCCATGAATGTGGTTTGCAGAGCGGCGGGAAAGAGAGCGCTTAACATAGTTGGTTTTATCGGCAAAAAGGGGGGCAGCTCATGTGCGCTAAAATAGTTGTGGGACAAAACGCGCCTGCCCACCCCCCCTTGAGGGACGTCTAATAAAGCCGCTGTCTCCCCCAGGGGGACTTTTCACCCGGGGGTTCACTCGTCCTGCGGCGTATACGCTTCGCGTCTGCGTCGTGCAATCGCTAATACGCAATGTCGAGTGCCTCCCCGTCGCCCGATCAATGGTTCCAATTAACTCATGCTGAAATACTTAATGCACTCGGAGACATCATACTCCCGGTGGGAATCCTTGTTACCAAAAAAGGAATCTACCTCTTGACATTTTCGAAAGTTCATATCGTGCGATTTGTTCCTGTGGAGGTTGTTAGCAACATCGTTCGAACCTCCACCTGGGTTATTCACCAGGACATGGTAATCTTGAGAGGCGTCTGGGGATACGCCTTTCCACCTTGCCTGGTCAGGTGCTTTCTTGTCCAACAGGGCGACTCCTTTGGTCCCTTCATGGCCCATCCTGTTGGTGCCTTTTCTGTTCAGTACTATCTGTACAATGTGGGGAAAAATGCAATTTTCATAAATCTCATTCATGACATGCTCGCAGTAGTAAATGGACTCGTATTTGCAATTCTTGTAAATCTGATTGAGGAAGACGTGAATGATATTTAATTTGGACAGGAAGAGAGCATACAGGAAAAAAAAAAAATTGAACAAAAATATGAACAGGATGTAATATATCCCTTTATAATTTCGCAAATTTAAAATGTGCATTTTGGCTAGCTCGTAAGGTGGTACCAAAGGAACAGCATTGTTGTAGTAATACACGGAGAAAAGGATATAAAAATTTATAAGTAAATTTACACACAAATTAATTACATACGGAATGAAGAAAAAAAAGTACTTGATGTAATTTATTTTATCGCTGCATTTCTGAATCATTAATGAATGGATGTAGTTGTGATTATACTTCATGTAGTTGCTTATGTTGTAAATGTTTGAATAAATCGAGTTTCCAAAAATGTTGAAAATATTCTTGCTGTCCATGTGCACACAGTGGTAATTGGCCATATCTCCCCCGGGAAAAACATTCAACTCTTCGTATAGGTCATCGTTATTTATAATTACGGAGACACTACGTTTTGTGGTGCCCAGCGCGGCGTCTTTATCTGTATACGTATTGCTCTCCCATGACTGGTTATCAGAGGCGTGTTTGTTTGGCGCCCCCCTGGGTTTCTTCCCCCTTTCCGCCTTTGCCACCTTTGCGGCCTTGGCCGCCTGCCCCGCGTTCTCCCTCCGGTGCCCAACTTCCATGCAGACCTCGCCACATTTGGTTGGTGTGCCGATTGTTCCCCTGTTCGTGTCGCTGTCCCTACTTATGTACTTGAAGATGTTTGTAAATTTGTTAAAAACTTCATCAGCGTGGAGTAGCACCATGTGGTCAAATTTTTTGTCCAAGTGACTAAACATCTTTTTACAACCCTCAATGAGAGTTTCTGTGTTCCTATATATTTCTTTGTTTTTCTCTCGTATATATACATTGTACAGCATTTGCAGGATGATCAGGCACATGACATCCACATGGTGAAGGAACATTTTGTATGTAAAAAAAATAATATATAAATTTAGCAGGCAATACGCCAAAACGGAAAAAGTTGAAAAAACGTGGAAGTGAATTTCACACGGGTGATAATGTGTGTTGAACCCCCAGGGAAGTCTAAGCACTGTCTGCAGGCGAAATAGGAGACATATACTTAGCAGTAAAAAGAGAATATACACAAGGTACAAAATGTACGTTTTTTTTTCCCCAATTGGGTGTAAAAACCAGGTCCCTTTTGGCACTTCCTTTTCATACTTCACTATACATTTCAAGTTTTTATATATTTCGTAAAAGTGTATATAATTTGAGAAGGGCGAATTGTCGAATAGGTTCATTTTCATGTTGTGCAGTTCCCTCAGCAGGAGCTCTTTCCTATCCTTGTGGCTGTCTCTGTGCTCCGTACCGTCCAGGGGGTCGCACCCGGCTCTCTCCGTGCAGATTAGCTCCACGCTCCTCTGCCTATTCGACGCCTCCATGGCTCGGCTCTCTCGGGGTTGGAGGCAACAAAGGAATAATAAGCTAATAAGCGGAAAAGCGCATAGGCAACAAAAGGGGACAGCGCAAGCGTGTCAAAAATAAAATAAAGCCAAGCCAAGCCCAACAACAATGACAGGAAAAAAAAAAAAAAAAAAAAAAGAACAAAATTAGACAATCATCAGTATGAACAGCAGAGCGCAATCCCTAAGTGAACAAAAAATTTAACCATTTAGAGAAACCCTAAAGACAATGTGTGCAGCTAAAAATAGGCCGTATGCTTTTTTTTTTTTTTTTTTTTTTTTGCAACATGATGAGGACGTACAAAAGGATGGCAGGAAAAAACCTCGTACATGCAATTCTGTACAACTGCGCCCAGGAGAACAACCGTGTGACACATTTTCCGCAGTGGCACTTTCTCCATAAGATGGAACAATTGAGAAGAGAGAACACCAACAATGTTACATTTCTGTACTCATTTATTTTATCACCTGGTGGTGCACACACATTTGTTCATTTTCTTCTTCCTTGAAGAAATTTACAACGGACAGGGAGGGGGGGGGCAAAAATACCCCATTTACGAGGGTTAACCTGAAATCCAGGTGCGCACATTACAGTGACTCCGATGGCCTTTTCTATTACCGCTTTAGTTTGAAAATGTGCACAAAAAAAAAAAAAAAAAAAGGACTAATACGTAAGAAAATAGGAGAACGCGAAATGGTCGTTAAGTGTTACCCTTCGAGTAAGGCGGCAAACCGGGTGGTACGTCGGAAGGTGTCCATATAATATATACATATATATGTGCAATTCTATTTGTTTCATTAGGCCACTCCCATTTTTTTGCACCATTCCATGGTTCACTTGCCATAAGTTTACCCCTCTACCGTTGTTTCACATTGCTGTATGTACATGTAAAGAGCCTGCTTTTTTCTTTTTCCCTTTTTTCCCCACCTGTACTGCTAGCTCAGTCATGCAACTACGGCAGTGCTAAAAACATGGCGCGCCATGTGCGCAATATGCTTTAAGGGGGACATATGAGAACAAATGAGGCATACTCGCACACGAATAGAAACGCGAAAAAAAAAAAAAAAAAAAAAAAACAGAATAAACATGGGCATGCTTGCATATTCAAAGGATTACAGCACAATGAAGTAAAATTGTATCCAAGTGATGTTTACTGTGATGTCCCACTAAGGGGGGATGAACAAAACAAAAAAAAAAAGAAAGTAAAATTAAATACGTTTTGAATATGCAATTTTTTTTTTTTTACAAATTTTTTTGCATACCATAATACACATATGAACGTTCATCCATATGGACATAACCTTGCAAATTGAATCAGCCACTTGGCGAGAGTGTAAATTTTCAGTTTCACACCTTTCCTCGTGTGAGTACTTTGCGCAGGCTTACGTACATGTGTAAGTGGGGCCAGGCGCTGTGGGCAAATAGCTAGCCAGCTACGTCGCTGCCTAGCTGATAGTCATCAAGTGAGTATTTTCCAACGGAACACTTCCCAAGGTAGCACATTCGAACTGGGCCCATCGCCCCTTCCCCGTCCCTGCTGAGTAACATGCCCAAGCTATCATATTTGATACGAAAATGCAAAGGCAAGGATGGAGATAAAATCAGCGGGCACGAGGAATTGGACATATTCAGCATCCTGAACGAAGATAGCTGTTATTCATCGGACCAGGTGGACACAGATGATAGTCACGTGAAAGAGGCAGGGGAGGATGCCATTTTGTCGGAGACGCAAAAAAATAAAAACCGGCAGGGGAGTAACTCCAGTGAGACCAATGGGAGCAGTACTAACAAATTATCACGCAATCCTGGCGGCAACTCAAAGGAGGGGTGTAAAAGTGGAAAGCACGACACGTCGAAGGAAGAAGTAAGTAAAATCTCGGGGGAGCAAAATCTGGGCAATATTATTCTCTCCAAAAGGGCACACATATTCCACAGCCTCAAAATATTATCGCCCAGTGGGGAAGACAAAGGTGAAAATGGGGACGGAGAGGCGGACGCCAAGGGTAAAAGCGACGCAACGATTCAACTGAGAGAAGGGATTCAAGACAATGATGGTAATCGCCCCCCAGAAGAATGTGCAAAACAAAATAACAAACTCAGCAACCCCCTGAAGAACACATACAAACATTTCACGCTGTATGAAAATAAAGTAAAAAAAATGGAAAAAAAAAAAAAAAAAAAAAAAAGAAAAGTGTGATATATTATTTGCTAAATGTAGGTTATTGTCATATATTGAGCCTCTACAACAACATCCATACGTGTCGGAATTGTACAACGACATTTTGGAAAGCATTAACCATTTGAACAATTTAAATGTGAGAGAGGCGTACCATCACTTGAGAGATGTGTATGTGAAAAAGTACGCCACAGAGGGAGAATTGAAAAAAAAAAAATTTTTCGAAAATCTTTTTGTTAGCGAAATATTATATAGATACAAAATGATGAACAAAATTGAACTCATATTTAATTTGAACGTTAAAGACACATGGGATGATTGTTTAAATTTTTCTGTCATTTCGAAAAAGGTTTACAAAAATTTTATTTTTGATTATCTCATTGATCTCGTGGACGTGAATGGGATGTTGTGTTTTTCCAAATACACCAACTGGCCAAGTGGAATCAGTGACGACATTTCATCTCCCCTCATGGTGCAGACCTCCGAGGAGTTTTTGAGCGACGCGGAAGGAGCCAAAGACGCCAGACACGCGGCGCGGGCGGGGAGGTCCCTCGAGAAATGCCCTGCGAATACCCTATCAGGGGGAAGCGACGGAGAAGACGAAGAAGAAGAAGAAGAAGAAGAAGAAAAATACACCCGCTGCGAAAAAAGCTTCTCCAACAGCCGCGACAACCGCCATGAGAGCCGTCGCGCTAGGCGCGCGCGCAAGCGGAAGAGCAAAAGAAAAAAAGCACCGGCCAAGTGCATAGAGAACAAGTACATCGATTACGGACACTTCCATCTGGCCTATGATGACGACGACGATAACGCAGTCTTCTATTACGTCACGAGAAAGGAGTTTAACTCTTTCAAGCGGATATATTCTAGGAAACTGGGCGTGGGGCTTCTGAGGGAGGAGGGGCAGGAGGAGAAGCATGATGAAGAAGACCAGGGGAGGACTCCCAGTGGGGAGGAGACAAGCTCGGACCAGTTCCAGACAGCTGAAGAGAGTGAGGAGGATAGTGGAAAGGAGAGCGACTCAAGGAGCGAACCGTCGAGCCAAGCGAGGCGCAGAGCAAAGCGGCAATCTGCAAGCAAAGAGAAAATGAATAAGGCTTCGCATGAACGTATGAGGAAACGTGAGGACTTTAACGTGGAGTCCACGCATAGCAGGATTGAAGAAAGAGAAAGAAGTGACCTGAACACGTTCATATATTTTTACGTGAATTTGCTGATACCCTCCAATTTTGTGTACGTCATTGCCACCATGATTGAGAGTAACCTGTTCAAATCGTGGATTCCCTTCTACTCCTTCCCCTTCAAGTAGGTCACGCATTTTTTGGGGGGAGCTCATTCGGCTGCCTAGCTAATTTAACGAGTAGTTTTTTTGGCGTGTAACTCACTTCCTCGTGGAAGAATTCCCTCCCCCCGTGTGGCCATTTTGTCATCGTGTAGCAGTGCGCTCTTTTTTTTTTCCCATATATGGTGCATTCCCTATTATTTAATTGCCGCCCCCACGTGTAGATTTGGAATAAGCGACTGCAAAACTTTGAAGCAACGAGGAATGCTAGACAAAATTGTTTACACAAAAATTGCCATGCCGTGGTTAATCAAGGACAGGTAGGAAATGCCCCCGCCCCTCCAGCGCGCTGACAAATTTTGCAGAGTGATCAAACATTCCACCGTTACGCTATACTTTTTGCTATGATACGCTTTGAGGCGCTATTCCGCTCCCTTTATATTTTTTTTCGAACAAACGCTAACTCTTCTTGCCACCCCACACAGGTTCTTACTGGTTGACGTATGGATATGCGAAGACTTCAAATTTTCGAAAGGCCTCTTTTTATATGCCTCCAATTTTGCCAAGAATTCTGAAAATATGGTATTTCGAAATGTGTGCAAAGTGGAGCGGCTAAAAAAAAAAAAAAAAAAAAAAAAAAAAAAAAAATGACGCAACAGTATGTACACCTTCCTCTCCCCCTTCTTACGCCTCCCCTTTTTTTTCAGACGAACCTCGTTGTGGACACGGACAACTGCATGGAAATTGATATGGCGATCCACGCGTTTATTGCCCCTAGAACTTTCGACGAGACCGTCGTGAAGTGCTACATCGAAATATCACCCAACATGAATGTGAACGAGTTTTTTATTTCGTTCTTAACAAAGTAAGCAACGGTGAACTTTATTGGCGGTGGACGAAACTCCCCCGAGCCAAGGCATGTCAACACCGCTTTACTCCCGCTTCCCCCAACTCAACATCATATCGCTTCTCATCACACACTGCAGGGTTTTCATCAAGAGCTGTATATCGCACTTCGTCAACGCGTGTAAAAGTTTCCAGTTCAACGACGTGTACAACAATGAGATGCGCAAGAGCCGCTTATTTTACGATCGCTTGCGGAAGGCAGCAGAGGAGTGTAAAATATATAACACATGACGGAGGGAAGAACTATGTGTGCAGTTTTCAAATGTTGAAGCTTGCAGCTCGTGGAAGGTCTAAACCAACATAAATGGTTAGGATTTATGTCTATCGTTTTGCTAATGGGGATGCCAAATTATATTTGCGCGTGCTATTGCATGGTGGACTTTTTTTTTTTTCCACTCCACGTTTTGTAAAACAATAAAACAGGACCCTTTTAAGGGTGCCCTCTTATGAGTACCCCCGTCGCATGCATTCCAGCGTCGTGTAGATAATTTATCTTCACAGCAGTGCGCTACAAATAAGGATGGTGTAAAGTCCTAGCCGTTTTACGCCCACGTTTTTTTTTTTTTTTTTTTACGTAAATGTTCACATGTAGGCGTGTACGTATGTTATGCATGTATGTATGTTCATACAAGTGCACTGCCGCATCCATTTGTTAATTCACGGTTTCGCGTTCACGTTATGCGATTGTGCGCATAAATTCGCGTAATGGCAATTTTTGCATAAAAGGATGAAGGTTTCTTGTTTCAACGCTTTAAATTTTGTACGCACGCGAGTACTCGTACAAGCACTCGTTATGTAGCATCCAATGCGCATGCACCGCCGACAAGTCAGTTTTAAAAATGAAAAATTGATTAATGCTGACCTGACGTTGCAACGCCCAGGAGGAATAATCCCCACATGGCGTTGAGCGTACCCCGTGTTGGGGAAAACTTATTCATGTGAAAAGGTAAAAAGGGTGAAAAATTTGAAGAAATTTATCTGTGTATATTTCCGCCCCACTCTCCCTCGTACGTTGTTAAGAATGCAGCGGACTACACACAAAATTTGTGTCCCATTTATGAGGAGTATGTACCGTGATTACACACGTCAGCATGTGCCACATTGGGCACAAAGCGTATGAAGACATATGTCGCTACAGACTCACGAACGTTTTGACACCCTGCCTCATGTAAGGGGAAAATATTTTAGCGCATGCCTGTGTAAGATGACGTATTTTGCTCTCAAGGAGCTTTACGTTGCTGACGACACAAAATTTGTGGGTTGCCGCTTTCTGAGGATTGTCGCCCCCCCGACAGGAGAACATGTTTAAGGTGGCCCCGTACGTTCCATACATTTACAAATGCTCAAATGGAAGCAACTTTTTCAAATTTTACAATCAAATAAAGACAAAGGGGTACTCCGATTTACTTAATTTTGCCAAGGGCTTGTACCTTTACTTGTGCAGGAATTGCCACAAAAATGGTGAGACGGAGAAGGGGACAAAATGTAACACAAGTGTAGCTAGCTAAATTTGTAAAAATTATATTTTTTTATTTTTATTTTTTTTTTTTTTTTCCCCCATTTTTTAGATGATCTGTTCATACATTTTTCGAAAAAATTGTTCAGAGACATTCATGGGGAAAATTTCGGGGAGAGGAACAAGAAGGACCTGTGCTTGTTAATGCTGTTGTATATGAAATGTAAAAAAAGGAGTAAATCGTTTGTACTCGGTAAGGACATAATTAAGCACATAAGTTGCGCAATCGAAGAAAATTTAGACAACTTCGATGAAGATGATCTCTCCACCGTTTTGACCTTCTTAAATTGCACAGCGAATAACAAGTTGTACTCACCCCGCGGTATAGTAAAAAATGACGTAAGTGCCAGAATTACAACACAGATTATTCAGCGAAGCGATAATTATTTGCACAATTTCAGGCAGACAAAAAATCTGTGTATATTGTATAGCTATTTATGCAGAGAAAACATAAGCGTCAAATTACACAATAACATTTTGGGACGAATTTTTAGCGGTGTAGATCGCTGTGGGGACACCGATTTGACCAACATTGTATTTAACTTTTACTACATTAACAGCGTTTTTTTTAAAAAATTTTTAAGCAAAATATGCGAACTAGGCAATACTCAGAATGGCGCGTTTTATAGCAGCAACATAGAAAAGATAAACGACAGCAAAACTGAAGCGTGCACGAGTGGGGAGGACACACCGTTGACGAAAAAATGGGGTGAGGAGTTATCCTCTCAGGAGGCACATTCCGTAGGTAGCACTGTTAGCAGTGAAGGGGTTACATGTCATTCGAGCCCCGTTTATAAATGTGACATGCTAGGGCGTACGGCTGGAGACACCCATTTCTCGCGAGAAAAAGCCACCCGTTGTGTGACGTACGGCAACATATTCAATATTTACAACTGCAGTATGTTCCTGCATGGATTCATAAATGATTATAACAACCTTTTTTTAAAAAGGAAAATAGGAAAATTGCTAGACCGATGCAACTTCATAGATAACATTTGGAAAAACTGCAGACTGATGCATGTTTTTTACTACACACTTGAGCATTATATGAACACAGGGGCGAGTCAGGAAATGAATGTGGACAGTGTACAGCGCATCCTAAGAAAGGGATACACTGATGAGGACGCTACCCTTAAAATGAAGGAGGTAAAATTGTACAGTAATATCTTTTGCGCGGATAACATAAAACTGTTGATGTATGTATACCAGGACGGAGTACACTACTACGGACGCTACTTCGACGCTTGCAGGGCGTTCCTAGATAAGTACATACTAAGTTTGCTTCAGGGGGAGGTTTACAAAGATGAATCTACTGGAAATAACACAACGAAAGGAACAACACGAATAAAGCACGAACATATTTACCTACTGCTGAGCGTTTTAAATCAAATGAATGTGCAAAATGAGGCAACATTTGACTTAGTAATGCGAAATTTTAAGCTTAATGGGAAGAGTTACCCCCTTAAGACAAGTCTCCTGATGCTGCAATTTTGCCACTCCCATGGGGGCGATGATGCATACCGTGACATTTATACACACATAGGGAGAACCCTCGATTCGCTGATCAGCTGTGATAATGCCATCTTACCAAATAATTTCGGAGTTTTATTTTTTCCCCCTTTTTTGGTGAAGGAAGGAGTATGCAGAATGTACCTCTCTCTGTTTGTAAAAGGCGCCACATGGTATTTACACAGAAAGGACAAAACACAAACTTATAGGTTAACTGATGAGCTGTTATACTTTGCCTTAAGTTACAACATACTATGTAGAGACACTAATGCACATGAGGAGAATTTTTTAAAATATTTTAAATTAAAAGAATTAAAAAAGATTTATGAATTTATTCACGAATTTGAAAAAATAACAAAAAAAAATTCCTTCAAATTAAAGAGAACGGGTACAAAAAAAAAAAAAAAAATTAACAGATTTTATTTTTACCTTGAAAAGGTACACATGAAGAGTCTTGCGAATTATGTTGAGATATGCCATCGGCAGAGTGGAAGTGCGTGTTTAAATTTTTTGAATTTTTTTGCCGTCTATAAGGGGTGCTCCCATGTGTATGAGGGATACGGCGCGAAGTACCTTCCCCCATCCGTGGCCCCTGCGATCGCGTTGTGCCGCGAGGGGCATGTGTGAGCTGGCACAATGGAACCCTAACCAGCCGCTTCTCTACCGCTTCACCACTGCTTCACCACCGCTTCACTACAACTTCACTCCCCCCTGCAACTTCCTCATGGCGTACTCGTATGCGAACCACGTGATGGACGTGGCGGGTATGGTCCTCAGGAGATTCACGTAGATGCCTGCGGGTGGGAGAGGGAGAATGATGAAGCGGAGGAAACGAAAATATGGCGCTAAGATGACGCCACTGGTCAACGCATCATGTGTGTATGTATGTGTGTGTGAGGGGGGGGGCGAACGAGCACGCCCCCCGCCCCCTTGCCGGCTCTTTGCTGGCCTTACCTCGATAGAGGGACCTGAACCCATAGACCCTGATGTTGTACAGAATAAAGCTGCACGACTTGATATTCTTCCTCTCGTTATTCAAATAATTTGTAGTGATCTCATTGTTGAGGGTTTGCATGCGGGTCCGCAAAACGAGAAAGGGGTAGCTTACGATTTGTGCAATGAAGGAGCTTGTGATACCAAAAAAAAGGAAGGACAAACAGTTGACATTTTTTACTCGATAATTACAGTAAGCGCATTCTGACTTGTTCATGCGGTTTTCCCTTTGGTGCTCATAAAATGGGCTATTCCAGTGGGTGAATTTGTTTCTAAAATGGGACATTCCTTTTAGTAGGTGGTACTGGATGAAGGTTTCTCCTCCTCCGCTGCTACGACTATCGCTACTATCTCTGTTGCCACTACCGCCATCACTGCCAGCGCTGCGTGTGGTCTGAGACAGAGCTGTCTTGCTGTCTCGTCCCTCCGCTGCGCTGTCTTCACCCGAGTCATTCCCCCTCGGCATGCAGTGCGTAGAGTGAATATAATCCTTGTAGAGTGTAAAAAAAAGGTACTTTGAATAATCGTATATGCTCATGTTGCACCCTGAAAACAGGATGACTCCATAGATGTGCATGGAGAGTCCGTTGTAGAAGTTCCTGAATTGTTCGTTCTTATAAATGTTGTAGAAGCATTTTATAATTCCGTTGTGATCATTTTTGTTGGAGACGATTAATCTGGTCTTTACTATTTCTAGTGGGTAAATAAACAGGGCTGCTATGACCCCGCTGGAGCTTCCTATGATGAAACGAATGAAGAAGGGAATGTCGAGGTTTTCCTGATCCTTCACATAGTCGACTGGTGTTGTTCCCGCTTGTCCCTCCCTGTCACCACCATCACCTCTGTAGTAGTTGTACACATTAACTTTTAAAAATTCATAAGAGTACATTTTAATGGAGAGCTCCGGAATGATCTTCACAATATTCACACAGTTCCCTCTGAAGAACCCGCATACCATTCCGTCCTTTTTTATTATTTTAAAAATTTCAGAAATGGGTAAATTATTCGTCACCTGCATTATGTACTTTACTCTGTCCAGCGGGGCTGTAATTGTCCTCGACATTATACCCGCGAACGTGGAGCTCAAAATGCTATTTATGGCGCCTTTTTTATCTATGAAGATATTGTACTTTGATGTTCCATCGTTTCTACTGGGGTTGACGTTACTAATGTGTGTGTCTTCCACATTTGCGCGCGCTCCATGTTGGCCATAGTAAGTATTTCCCTTCCTGAGGGGACTATTCCTCCATATAGTGTTTGCACTGTGTGGGTTCGTTTCCCTTATCACCCCATGCTGTTGGCGAGGATCACTATGTAGCTCTTCATCATTTTTGCTTTCACTCATTTCGTCTGCCTTCTCTTGCATGGTCTTCTCCTTCTTCCCCATGGAGTGCTAGCTGTTTTGTTTAACTGATGCATGAAGCCTTTTCCTTCACGGGATTCATGTTCGAAATGTATTGGCAATTGCTGCAGTCATTTGGTTGGTTCCTTTTTCACGCCCTTTTTATGATTCTACCACGTTGCCGTGTTGTTACTCTCTTTTTGTGTTGCTGTATTAACTGCTCCAGAGGGGGGGGAGTAATCTGCTTAGGGTCATGGGCGTCAAGCACGTAAGTACGGAGACAGAATGGTAAGGCCTACATAAGTATGAGCAGACGGGGGCAGTTGTATGCTTATACTCATATGTACATACAAGTGCGTGTTCTATGATGGGGAATACTCGCGAACGCGCATAAGATATATGCTACGCGCGTGTAGTTATACACTATGCCACGTTGTATACTATGCTGCGCTGCAAGTTGTGTTCTGCCTTTGTTCATGCGTTTATTCATTTTTTTCTGTTCTTCTTCTTTTTCCCAATTTTTATGTATTCTTTTATTTTCCCTGTCGCGGATATCATCACCTTTGTTGCTCACTTGGCTATTCGTTCGGTTGGTAGTGTTTTTCATTTTTTTTTTTTTTTTTTGCAAGGGTATAAAACTGTAAAGGGCGGGTAGTGCTTAATGTAGCGCCGTTTGTTCTCGTGCGCGCGCAAGTTTAGGGGGGCAATAAAGATGGGGGAGTTGCGGGTGGCCTAGCCTAGCCTAGTCCTTATTATGCATTCGTAGCGGGGCGCGGGAGTTCCTCATCAAAGTGGAACATCTATTTAGCATATTGAAGCGACGCGTTCATCACACCACCGCTTCTCATAAGTGAATTGTGCCTCCCGTGTAGCGTGTTTGGAGAAAAAAAAAAAAAAAAGGGCAATATTGTCCAACGGTTAGCAACACAGCCATGTTGACTGGTACGGGGAATTTTCTCCCCACTTAGGCAGCAGCCACATTAGCATTTATTCGTGTGTCATCTTAGAAGGATTACACCACCTGGCGACATAGCACTACACATATTGCTTAGATAAAAAATTCAAACGCCTCACTTCAATGTTGTCCCCATGGAAGAAACGCACAAATTTATAATTTTTTTTTCGTATGTCGGGATGGGGTTCCACGTATGAAGCTTCGCTCTGTACGCACAAACGTGTGAACAAATCTGCGTGCACATGCATGGATGTAGTTTGCTCGTCACGTTATGTAGCTGGCGTGGCGACGTACCTGTTATGTTAGTTTGTCCACCTATTTCCATTCCCCCCCCACTTTACCAACCCGTTGTTGAGTGATCGGGCGGACACGACCACGTCAAAGAGTAACAAACCCTTTGCTGTAGACACCTTCCCCACACTCTTTCGAAAAACGCAGGGATCGGCGTACCAAAAGGACAACCCCAACACTGTGGAGAACAGACTGATGGACTGCTTGCACGCCCTGAACTTGATCCCCGGGGTGGACCAGTACGATCAGCGCTCCTCCGCGCCCTGGCTAGGCGTATACACACATATATGTGCATATGTATAAATGCGTTACATTTTTTTTTGTGAGCCGGTCGGTACACATATTTGCCCCTTTTCACCCCACGGTGTAGGCCATTTTCCAGAGTCTCAAGAACAGACAAAGGCGTTTCGGCGCGCATGAATGCCCTGACCATACGGCTCAAAATTAGACACCCCCACATGGCCCTACAAGACATAGAAAGAATTTACGTGAAAGAAATGAACAAAAGGTTGAAGAACATACACGTGATCGACATACGCAATGTGCCCAATTTTTTTGACGCGCGGTAGGCAAAAAAGGAGTTATAAAAAGAAAGTAGCAAAGCAGTTGCGTGCGGGACTGTCTTGCCTGCTCTGAAGAGGCCCCTCCCCGACAACACTCCGCACACCCACGTATATAATATGTTCCCACGAACAATTCGCGTATACCCCCTGTAGGTTACATTGTATACATAGGACCTACTTATATTTCTTCATGGACAAAAATTACAATTTTGAGCGAATGAGGGAAGCCTGCAAGTTATTTGTACGGGATGGAAACAAAAAAAAAAAATTTCAATATTTGCAATCCATTTTTTATGCATTATCCGTGCCCGTGCCATGTGTGCCTTTTATTTCATTCATTTTTATTTTTTTTTATTTTTTCGTCCTGTTCAGCTAGGGGAACACGATTTTGCTAATTTTTGCAAGAAGAGGAAAAACAGCACATGCTTCAGGTAAGAGAGTTCTACGTGGCGGTGTTTTTTTTTTTTTTTTTCCCCCGCGTCACCCTATGGGCTTCGCCGTCCATGTGTCGTTGTTGTTCAGTTGTGCCTCGTTTGTATACGTATACGCTCCACGTTTATCCGCAGACGGACCATCCTCAAGTTTGAGCTCAGGAGTATGGACAAGAATTTTCACTACTTCAAAATAAAGGGAACGTCATTTCTGTACAACCAGGTGCGGAAGGGGGCTAATAGACCGAATTGATTCGGGGTGCCACAAAAGAGGAGCGCGATTGTATGTGCATGTAGAAACATACACAATTGGCTTATATGTGAGCCGGATTAATTGCTGCCTCCCCCATTGCATTGTCCGCAATATTCACCCGCTGCTCCAGATTAGACACATGGTCGCCACCCTGTTCCAAGTGGCCACAGGGAACTTAGAACTGGAGGACCTAGCAAGCATGCTGAACAACCACCCTTCTAGGGATAAGAAGTAAAAACGAAAAAAAAAAAAAAAAAATTACTGATAAACAATCTGGTTAACTTTTGTTCCTTTTTCCCCAACTCTCCCCTTTGCAAATACCTGAGTACCCATATACACACCACCGCACGTTCCTCTTTGCAGTTTCAAAATAGCCAATGAAGATGGGCTGCTGTTGTACTCCTTCAAGTTCAGCGACCTTAACTTTCACATCAACGTTGACAACCGCGTGTTTTCACACCTGATGGAGAAGTACATACAGAGCGCGGTACTGTTGGTTTCTCTCTGCTACCCTGGGAAGGTTAAGCGACAAAATTGCGGCCTTTTTGAAGACATCATGCCTGATGGAGATGGGCAGGGTGAGGGCGATGAGGAGAACTGTCCTCCTTAAATTTGTTCCATCCGCGGGTAGTACTGTGTCTGTGTGAGGGGTTACCGTTTGCATCCCCTGCCTCTTTTTTTTTTTTTAAATTTGGTTTTATAAAAATGCTTATTTGGTCGACTGTGCCAAAATTGTGGAGAGGATTTCCACTTGGGGTCCTTTCCCCCCAAATGGCGCACAGTTATAATTTTTTGAAAAAAAAAAAATATAAAACACTCAGCAGTATTATTGTGATTTGTAAGGCGCAGCGCTGCCTGCTCCTTTTTTTTTAAATCCTTTTTTAAAACCCGTTTTTTGAACCCTTTTTTTGCACCTTCAAAACGGCGTGGCTACCACCACCCCCTTTGCGTGGAGCTATTTTCCCCGAGATATGTTCTCCGTGTACCATAAAAACAGATGGGCAGTTGCACCAAGGAACTAAAATTTAATTCCGTCAATTTTCTTTTCATGATGGATTAAAAATAACTGTAGCTATTTTTTTTTTTTTTAAAGGAAAGTGTTCTCTAATTTTCATTACCGCAGGGTTGCAACGCGGAGGTTGTCAGGCGGAACGTCGCTTTTTTTGAAGCTCGCCAAGGTAGTGATGCAGTGGGGAAAAAGAGGCATCATTAAATACTTATAAAACACTTATTCGTACAACCTACATGGATGTAAACAACTTTACGCAGGCCTCCCCCCCAGCTCATTTAGGAGGCGCACAAGTATATAATAACACTACAAATGTTTATTTGAAAAAGTGGGCCATGTGAAAACTGAGTGGGTCAGAGTGTTTATGTGAACAAACTACTACTTCTGCAGTTTTTTTTTTTTTATCATCTAGAGAAGCACATTCCCGCATAGCTCTCTCCATACGCTGTGTGGCAGCCTCCACGAGGAGAAGAATTTCACGCAAGGCGACATTTACACCCGTCAACTGCATGGAAAGTGGCCATTAGCGCAGGGGTAGCCAAGAGGAGTATGCGTGTGACGAAGTGAAGACGTATGAATGTGACGAAGTGAAGACGTAGGAACATGGGGAAGCTAAGCAAGGACAGGAGAGACATCTACTACCGGAAGGCCAAGGAAAACGGGTACCGTGCAAGGAGCTCCTTCAAGCTCATCCAGATAAACGAAAAGTTCGGAATCTTCAAATTATTTGCCCCCGAAAATTATGGGGAAAAGGACAAGGATAAAATAAGGAACATATACAATGAACATTTCTGCTACAATATAGTTGACTTGTGCGCAGCCCCTGGTAGCTGGTCGCAGGTGCTGAAGAATATCTGCCTGTACAACTACTACCAGATGCTCCACTGGGTAAGCAGAAACGAGGGAGCTGCACCCAAATGTGATGAACACGAAAAGTTTTTAAACAACTTTTCTCTGTACGTCAATTTTAACGATGAGCTAGAGAAGAGGATAGAATGCCTGCCCAAAAAGGAATTTGTGAAAAAGCCAAAAATTGTAGCTGTGGATTTACAAGAAATAGGAAATATGAAATATGTGCAGATTATACAAGGTGATATAACCAAAGCGTCCACTGTACATCAGATTTTAAAATGTATGAGACAGGGGGGGGACGTTGCAAACGGCATGGGCATGGGGGGTGCTACATGTGTGAATGATGAAGGCGTTCAGGGAAGCGCCCAGTGTAAAGGGAGTGATAAGGTAGATGGACAACATTGTGAAGGGAACAACTTGCCCACTTACGCACACGCTGTTGTGAGCGACGGAGCGCCAGATATAACTGGCATGAATGACATAGACGAATTTATTCAGTCCCAACTCATTTTATCGAGTTTAAAAGTATGTTGCTCCGTTTTAAAAATCGGCGGAAATTTTATAAGTAAAATATTTCGAGGTGAACACACTGGTCTGCTTATTCTACATTTGAATAAATTTTTTGAGAGAGTTTACGTGTGTAAACCGCAAAGCAGTCGGAATAAAAGTCTGGAGTCCTTCCTTGTTTGTTTGAACTTTTCTTTGCCGCTGTCCAAGATTACAGCGCTCAGCCATCATACAGGGGGGGGGACACAAAAATGTAATCTTCAAAATGTGCCTGAAGAAGAACTTCGAAAAATGCATGCAAAGTTAATTACTGAGAAGGACGATGAGGGAGAAATTCGTACAAGGGGCAAATGCCTAAGTAGGGAGGGAAAAAGGGATGATAATACAAGTGGAGAGGAATTCTCTGCTGAGGGGGAAGACCCCGCTCATATGAATGAAGATGATAATGAAGTTGAATCGGAGGGGGGAAAAGCAGGTGACGGAAAAGGTGAAAATGAGCTTGCACACATAAATGCATACAGCAGTGACGATGCTGACGGGGGGAACATGTTAAAGGGAGACGAACGGAAGGACTGTGACCCAGAACGCGGTGATACTCTGACGGGGAAAAATTTTCCAAGTAAAAAGTTTACCCATAAAAATGTGGACATATTCAATTTTTACTGTTCTGATAGTGACGAAGAGATAAAATATTTCAATTCAGACGATGAAGAAGTTGTAAATGAGTACATTGCATCGGAAGTTTTTATGAACGATAAACTATTTTCCTTTGTCGCCACACAGAATTATTACGACTCGGATAAGTCCTACTTGCTTCCTCAGAATTACGTTCGACATGAGCCCCAGCTTATGCCGCTGCAACCTCCCTATTTGTTGTCTTTACAGAAGAAAAGGCAAGAGGGGAAAAAACCATAATGATAAGTGTCACACACGTGTGTGTATGAGCAGGACACGGAATGGATCCTGTGGAGCGGCGCTTTCCCCCCCTTTAAATGGGTAAATAAAACGAATAATGCTGGTCATAGACCTCCGTTTGAAGAGGAAGAATTTGCCTACATGTACATTTTGTAATCACTCAATTGTGAAGTTAACCCGGATTCGTTTTCAACCCGTCGAAGGTGAAAATGTATGTATTATGGGGAGAAATTAGTAACCCCTTACTGTTTTGCCTTAAATTGCTTCCCTTTTAGCATTACACATAAGGACGTTACCCTCTTTTTTTTTTTAACCATACTATATGGCGAAGGGAGAGCTACGCAGGTATAATGTCCTATTCAGCAGGGTATCCCCTAAATGGGATTCGCAGTGGAGGGCTGTACCCCCTTCTTCATTTGTCGTCTTAAAAAACGGGTTGCATTAACCCTCATAGTTTTTTCTATCAACAAGTTTGGTCCTACTCGAATGTGTCCCCCTCTTTCGCATATTCTTTTTTTTTTTTTTTTTTGTCTTATCCATTTTTACGTTTATTTTCTCACGCGAGTCGGTAAATTATAAACTGCAACTTTGCAAAATGGCATTTGCCAATCTTGCATTTTGCTGAAGTGTGTCACTGTCATGTTGGCAACTCGTCGATCGTTTTAATAGAAAAGGGAAAAAATTCAGGACTAGCCAAAAAAGGAAAATTTTTTTTTTTTTTTTTTTTTAAAAAAGTGAAAAATATTATTGCCTGTTCAGGCAACTTTGTGTATGCCCATTCAACGTTGCGCACACGGCTGTATCATTTTTTTCACTTCACTTTCCGCGCGTCTATAACGCGTTTCAGTCTTCCATAACAAAATGCGCACTACACGCGTCCACATTTTTACCAGCGCAAAGGTGCATACAAGTGCAGACAGGCACATTTACCAATTTTGGCAACATTGCAGCGGCGGAAATATATGGGGGGAAAGACTGGGCTAAAAGGATGACGTCGCGAATGAAGCGCAATGGATGTAGAAAGAAGTGGTTTTTTTAAATGGCCTCAAAAATTAAAAAAAAAATAATAACATCGTTAATGAGACATCCGTTGTGGTAGCACAACGAATACAAACATACGCATACGAACGAACGTAATCACAAATTGAATTGTCTGCTCTGCTATTTGCTCCTTCATATTTACATGTAGCAGTTCATCGGACTAGCTAACAACTATGTGGAGTGTGTACCTGTTCTTCCTTAATGAGCGAAAGAATGCATACCAATGACCCCGAATTTAAAAGTCATTTTGCGCTGAAAATAAAGTTAAAAGCGTTGCACCTTTTTTGCGAGGACTTAAACGACGCGTTAAAGGTATTAAAAAAACAGGCAGGGGGCGATAGAAATGATTTCTTCAAATGATATATATATTTTTTTTTTCTATCCCTTTTCCAATTTTCGCCATTGTTCTCCCCAACCCCGTTGCATAATTTTAGTTAAAATTCAGGATTTACTATGATGGCGAAGACGAGAGCAGTGTCCGCGTCTCCCCGGAGAGGGTTCGAGTGGTTGAGGCGTTGAACAGGGACTACAACACTATGGTACGGAAAGCCCCATCTAAGGAGTATGCCACATGCCTGTCCGTACACACTCAGCGAAAGTATTTCCGTTCGTCACTTCTTCAATTGACAATCCTGTTCCTCCCACCACTAACCGCAGATTAAGTCGATCATAAACAAGTCCATTTACCTACCCATCGTGTGCCTAAAAGGGAAGTGTCCTCAGTTCATTAACATTATTTGTAGCATTGGCAAAAGAAGAGAGATAGGCCTAAAGCTATACCTTAATAAAAATTATGCCTTCTTAAAGTATTACGGCACGAACAAACTGTACAGCATATATGACTACGACAATGGCAGTGTGCAAGGTTAGGCCTGAGGGGAGCGTCAAAGGATGTGGCCCATACATCATTGACGCGCGATTTATTTTCTCTGGTTGTATATTTGTCTGTGCATCTGTCACTTCACCTGTCTTTTCATTAACACCGTTACCACTTGACAGGCCACCTGGAACTTGCACTGGACATAGTCAACTGTAATCGGTCCGTCCCCTACTTCGGGAGGGAGACTTCCAAAATGGTAAGCCTTTCGTGCAAGTGCGCTGGTATGCCAACGCCGCACACTACACAGTGTGATGTATAGCATGGGCATTCATGCAACTTTTATTTTTCATATAGGGGAAGGACGACCACTACATTTTGGCAACTGAAATTTCGGTCAGCAAATTGTGGAAGGAGATGGTGGCACATAAAACGAACAGGGATGTCAACGCTTACGTGGAGTCTTTTGTAAGTTGATAGAAGAGGAACGTCAAATGGACAAGCGTGAAAGGGGAAAGCTCCCCCACCCCCTCTTTAAGTTTATAGCCTTTTTCCTCATTGAAAATTTCCTACTCTTGTTGCTATGCTGTAGAGAATAATGCGGGAAGATGGCTTAAGCGGAGTTGCGCTCACGGGTAAGGCAAAATGGTGAGGTGTGCCAATATGATGAAGCGCTTTCACACTTTTGTGTCAGATATATATTTTTCCCCCGCCCTCTCCCCCTTTTTTCTCTACAAAGCGATAGACAGGAATACCCCCCTGAGTCTGTTCTGTGGCTCAGCCAAGCATGCTTACGAGCACTTGCCAATTCCATTAATATGCCCCGCTGGCTTGTTTGATTATTTCTACATGGAGGTGTTCCCTCTATATAAGAAGAGTAAGGGGACCCCTACATAGAGCGCGAGGCTGTACACACACGTCTCTCTCTATCTCTGTGTATAGTCCTGTTTGCACTGCAGTATGTCCCCGTATATTATGGTAAGATGTGCAACATTCACGTCTACACGAACCTTTCACTCCTGTTCAGGTAACCCATCATGGATTAGGGTTGTTAACGATGTATATGACAAGTACCTGTGCAGGCACTTCCAGGTAAGCCGCGTGAATAATACAGACACTCCAGCAAGAAAAGGGTTGCTCATATGTGCCCCTTCGAAAAACTTCCATCCATTAAAAATGAAAATTACTTGTTCTCAGAAAAAGGACATGTACGAAGAGGTCCGAGCCTGTGCGCTCTTCTTCTACCTAGAGAGTGCATTTGTTAAGGTGGCAGCAAGTTTTGCAAAATGTGTTATTATCCAGGAGTATACGTAAGGGAGTGGGGGAGGGCCACAGGAGTGAACTGTTTGTGGCTGCATATGACCAACGGCATACCTATATGGAGTGTCCTTTAGCGCCCAAGCGTCACCTCCTCCTTGGTATCATCTGTACATGATGCGTGTTTTTCCTCCCCGTGCAGGAAGTACACCTCGCCGAGGTACCTTGACAAGCTGTTTGCAGGTGAGTCAAGAGAACAGTTGAAAGCGAAAAAGGCACACACAAAAAAAAAGCGAAACGTACCGTGCATATGATAAGTAGAACAAAGCCAAATGTTACTAACGACGAAAATGACGCACCACTGATGATACCCTTTCTGCCCATGCTGCCCTCTGACATCTGCAGGGAAGCCAAAAGATAAGGTCCAGTTGGACGAGGACTTTAAATACGAAAAAATATCTGGGGAGAGCCCCCTAGACGTTTTCAAGTTATTTGAGGGAGATGAGGTTAGTCCACAAAATGGTCCGTTTGGTTGTACCTGTGGTTGCTGACCTGCGTGGAGGTCCACATTTGGAGACGCCTCCACCCCCGTTGTCCCACTTCTAATTACTAAACATGAACAAGTAGACACACTCGGTGTGCACCCGATTCACGCTTTCTTTTTTTTTTTTTTTTTCTCTGCAAATTTTCAGGTGTACGTAACACATGACTCTTGTGTTGTAGCAGAGGGGCTCATAGGGATTCTCATTTTTGGGGACGACCGAACGGACACGGACCTCGCGTGCAAGTAATGAGCCCTTAATGGTGTTCAAAAAGTCGGCGAGCAGGAGGGTGTAATCACGCATGAATAAATACGCATGCGTGTGCTCTTTTTTTTTGTTGTTGTTTCCACCGCGCAGGACGTACAACCGAGAAATAAAGGCGCAGCAGTGGATAAACAAAGGCATAGCCAAGGTTAAAAGCCAAAATTTAAAAGGGATGACAAAGGAATGCGGAAAAGGCAGAATGGACGGGACGATTTCCTTGTCCTTGTTGTCTTTCAACCTAAGCGCGCGTAAGGAAGGAATAAAAAAATTAGTGTGCGAGAAGGGGGCAAATTTAAGTGGTGACATAATGGCGACTTGTCCTTCTCGCCGATCTGCCCCGTTTTCGGGTGAGGAGAGATTTGCCATAGAAATTTCCCCACAACATTACCCCATCGTTTCACACGCCCATTCCCCCGCGCAGTTGTATCCTACAAGGGGTTCAAAATGTACGTCATTCCGTCCCCCCTCTTTCCGCTGGCGGTTAGGAGGCTGGACGGGGTCAGTGGTGATCTCAAACACGTAAGTGTGTCAGAAATTGGCTGCCATTTTTGCTTCCCATTTTGCGCCAAAAAATGGGAGAAAATCATGCAGCGCAAAAATGGATGTAGCATATATGCCCCCCTACACGCACACACAAATGGAAACTTCCCCTGCGCAGGAATTGAGGCTTCTGGAAAAGGCCATACCCACTTATGCACTGTTCAAGGGGGTGAAGGGGAAGGAAGCATTTTTGGCCAAGTACCACTCGGAGGACAATTACGTGTTCTACAATATTAACACAATGTTCGGTGGGATGAAGAAAAGGCATTTTCCCATTTTTGAAAATTCACCAGGGGAAGCATCCCACATTAAGGTATGAATTGTCTACCCAATTCGTGTTCATATGAGAGCGGTGGGGAAGACACACAGTAGCATTAATCTGTTCTCACGTGTATCAACTCTATTTGTGTACATGTGCATATGTCACCACCCTATGTGAATTGTCTCTTCATGGGCTTCTTTTTTTTTTTTTTTTTTTTTTTTTTTTCGCACACTTAGGAACAGATGAAACAGGGGGGTTACAAGGCAAAATCTTTTTACTCAAATGACGTGGAGGTGAGAGGGGACCTCGACCTCTACTGTGAAGAAGAAGAGACAGATGGATGGGGTAGAGGTACATATGGGAAGAACTCAGAAAAATATATTGAACGTGTCTTAAGGGAGATTGAAAATCTATCCTTCAGTGTCCCATTTGATAGTACCTCATTAAAAATGTACTTACATGGAAGGGGGTTAAAAATGAAACACCTTGGGAAGATGCTCAGTTGCGTATCGGTTAGGTGGCTATACGATATGATACTAAATGAGATTCTAATTCGTTGTATTAAAAAGTATGTCCATTTGTGCATGCGTGAGATCTGCTTGTTTTGTAAAGAGAGAGTAAGTCAATATGAGCGGTTACAGGGTGGGGATTTGTGCGCAGCTAACTCACGTGCAGAGTTGGACTTTTCCGTGGAGTCAGATTTGTCAAGTGATGAAGTGGGGCATGTAAAAGGGGAGACATCACTGCCAAACGGTTGCGATTCAGGTGGAGACAGCTCTACCTGCTCGGAGACGTCTTCTCTGCGCAGCGACGATACGGACGGTACCTCCAAATGGGGTTACAGCCATTACCTGCTGAAAAAGAAAGAAACAAAACAGAAGCGTTGCTCAAGGAAGAAGGTACTGAAGTCATTTATAAGTATGAGGAATGTGCTTAGTAGGAAGGGGCTACTGAAGAGTCACTTGGAAAGCGCCTTGAGGGGGGGTAGTACTGGGCAAAGCAATCCACAAGGGGGAAATTCCCTTTTGAGCAAGCTCCTAAATTTTGACTCCTTCGAAAAATATATGAACGAAGAAATGTACATAATAAAAAGGAAGAAGGTGAAGGGAGGCATAAAAATTGCAAGTAAAAAACACAAAGGAAGTGTAACTCTAATTGATATATTTATAATTAATCTGTTCAATCTGATATTCGTACAGGAGAGTGGAACAGACAGGGATCTCCTAGCAGCTCTTCAAAATATATCTTCAACGTGTTTTCACACCAGTGTAGATAACTCTATAGAGTCAGCTCAGAAAAATTACTTGTATGCAAATTTGCAACCATGTTTGGGGATTTCCTTCTACGGCACATGTGTTAATCGGATGAGTGCAAAAGGGAACTCACCTAATGGGAAATTTTCCATGCAGCACTTGAAGGCATATAGGACAAAAATTAAAAACTCCATAAATGTTACGTACATGGATTTGCCAACCTATACGTATACGCATCGACCTGAAAAGATACCTCTAGATATACCCAGCGAAAATAAAAAAATATTATCTAAGGCTATTTTTTTTACCATAATGTATTATCATCACTTAAGTGACAGTAACGAGGTGTACACGAAGAAGTCGTTCCTCACGGGTAGGGAATTGCCCAGCAGGGGAAGCTCTGAAGAGGAAGACACAACGAATCGACATAATTGGTCATATACAATTAGGTTAAACTCTCTGCTTGCATCAAACGATAATGTACCTTTTTGTAGTGACGCCAATTATCTAGCTCTTTATGGCTTCTTAAATATGGTTGCTGTTGGTGTACAGCTTGGCTTTTTCGAAAGTGCTTTAAAAAGGCTTATTGCCCTTTTTCAATACATCCCGGAAGATAGTGTCATCTCGGTGCATGTCCGGATTATGTGCTTGTACATTCATGCGTTGAAGGGGAGGTACCTTCAGGGGGGTCGTGTACTGTGGGATGATGACAGGGGTATGAAGAACAGGGCAGGGAAGCGATATAAAGGGGGTAAGGGAAAATGGGTCTCTCACCACTCAAGGAAGCATTCCGCAGATGAAGAATCCACGCAAGGGAGCTTCAGCTCAGTGTCCGGAAGGGGAGTGTTCCTCCTTGACGACGAAACGACTTCGCAGTGCGCAGATTGCTCTGGTTGCAGCGACCTTTGGAGCGAGGCGTGCGGAGAAGAATCGAATATTCAGTTGAGTGATAAGTGGAGTGACAAGTCAGGGAGTGAAATGAGACAAGTCGACCATGGGGACAAGTCCAACTGCACGAATGCACACCAGGAAATGTGTTTCCCCTCAGAGGGCGCACTGGATCTGTACAAGGGGATTCATGAATGCTGCTCCGTCATCTTGAACAACTACTTTGTCTTCTTCCACCCGATGCACCTGGATTTCTACCTGTCTCTGGCGTGGTAGGCGCGGCAGACGCGGCGACAGCACGCAGTGGGTGGAAGTAGCTCATTGGAGAGGCGGAGAACTCCCCCAAGTGCTGCTCCTTTGCACCCTGCACTTGTTACACATGTGTCCTTGTGTGCACCCTCCCTTTTTCCCCCCCACTCTTGTACAGGTACAACCGCAGCGTGAACAACTACCGCGAGTTCCTGCTGCTCCTCCGAACGGCCATTCTTCTTCAGCTGAAAATGAAATTGAAGAATGACTCCACAGAAAGGATCGAAGATGTGGTGAAGCTCAGTGACAATTTTGAAAATCTGGTTTACTTCAATTTTGAACTTTCTTCGTGTAGGGGGAGGGGGTTGAGGAAGGAAAAGGAGTACGTGCTCCTGGAGAGGATCCGAAATGTTTCTAGCTTTTTTCTAAACAGCATATGCTACCCCCATGAGGATTTATTTGTACACGCTACTTTGGAGACCACGATGAAGTGCTCCTCGGTGTATAACATGCGTCTGGGTTGCACTGTGCACCATTTTGCCAACTCATTATTTTATTACTACTACACTAATAGGGTTATTAGGAAGTACCGACATGAGAACTTCATCCTGAATGGGTCTCTGTGTTGCATCTCTGTGTTGGAGCATGTGCGTGATGTATATTACTCGTTCGGCGCAGACAATGTGTATGTGGGAGAAGCGTCATTGGACCTGTCGCTGATGGCTTTGAAGACTTACTTGAGCGAGATGACAGAGTTTGGTGGGAATTGCGTAATGGCATACGCGCTGGTGAACGCGCGGCTCGCGGCGGAGGTAGGAGAAGGGCGCGCCAGGCGTCCGTTTGTATTGTGCATGTACTACATGTGGCGTGGCATAAATGCGCTTTTCTCTCCACCACTTCTTACCACCTCTCACCACTTCTTACCACCTCTCACCACTTCACACCACTTCTTCGCAGCGCTTCCGGCGGAACCTCGGAATAAACCACCCCGACACGCTACACAGCCAGTATGTGCTGAGCCTGGTCTACATGTACCTGGACAGTGAGAAGTGTCTTCATATGTTCGAAGAAATAATTTACTACCTGCTCAATTACAAGTACTCGAATAAGGACAAAAACATATTGAATCGGGTCTACTGTCATGCCCCAGATTTAGTCTTAACACAAGAAGGGGTTCACTCCACAGGGGGAATCCCCAAGAGGTGTAGAATCATGTGGTACCTTTTGCACTCCTGGTTTAGCATTTGCATCCCTATCAAGTACCTGCGTAAAATACGAAGAATTTTGTTTCTGCTTTTTTCTGTGGAGAGCTGTAGGAGGAGAAGAAGTCAAGTTGGGGGAGGAAGGTACTCAGGTACAGGAGGTTCTCACATTGAACACGGATGGGTTAACCGATCTGATGACTTCCTTGGTGGGAATGTTTTGTGGGCCTGTTCAAAGGATGTCGATGAGGAACATATATTCCCCTTTGAGCAACTGGTCTCCTGTATATGTGGGTATAAAAACATTTTCCCCCTCCAAGGGTTGTTTAGCCAAATGGAAGAATATAACGACCTGCTCAAATGTAATAAGCACGTGGTGGAGGGGACAACAAGTAGGATGGAAGAATTTGGTAGCAGAGACGGGGTAACCGCCGCGGAGACATTCGATGCTGCGTATGATATTCGATTATTACCTTTACTTCTAAGCAGAGTTGAGACAGGGAATGACAACAGGACGGACGCCTTTTCTGGTGCATTGGTAAAAAGTGGTTTGAAGTACAAAAAGGAGTTTGTGAATTATGTGCACCATCCTGACTTTCGAACTGATGAGGGTGTGGAGGATTATCTTAAGAGGGAGACCCAAAAAGGTACTACAAAGAGGAGAAAAAGCGTCACAGATTTTTACTTGAAGAAATTAATAAAAATGGTGGAACACCAAGTGGAGGTGCTTTACAAGAGGGAGAAATACAAACATGACACGAAGCTACATTTGTCCACTAGAACAAATAAATCGTGTGCAAGTTTGCCTTTACGTATTGTGAAAGGAAAGAGAAGCGAAAGGGATAATGACACAGAGGGCTGTTCTGTTGTGTGGAATGCACGAAGGGGAACCTTCCAAAGGAGAGAAGTGGATAGTTCTTCTTTAAGTTCAGAAAATTTCGGTGATTACTCGGGTGTCCGTTCTATTAGCTGTGGAGAGAATTCCTCCAGTGGGTTGAGGAACAATCCAAGTGGCCATAAACGGGAGAGACGCCGATCAGAGCATGTGCAGGCTACACGGACGAGGAAGTTGAGAGCTGCTTCCCTGGTGAACAACGATGTGCACATCCTGATGAGCTTGCTGTACCACTTTCTCAACAAGGACAAGTTTCACCTGTTCTATTCGCGCGCGGCGGATGGGGAGTGATTTTCCCGTGCATCTCCCCCGATTGTTTTTGTACCTATTTTTATTGCTTTTATTTTTTCCCCCATTTCGTTGTTATGCCTTTTTTTTGTTGTCGTTGCTCGTAAATGGGGTTAGAGTTATGGGCGACCCCCTGGCACTGAACTCATGTCCCCGCGCGCACCGAGGGGACGTGGTCCCTAATTTGGGTGTTGTCCCCCACCAGGTGTAGGGACGAGGGGCGTGTAATAGTTTTGCAAACAACTGTTCCGGTTGGGAAAGCTGACGTTCACCTGCGTGTGCGTTATGAGTCGTGCGGTGTTTTCTTCATGTGGACACATCAGCTGGTCCCCCAATACGGGGGGTGCTGTACAGCGTGACAATTGTGCACGTTTTTTTTTTTTTTTTTTACGTCCGCGGTGTCGCATAGGCTAGCTTCACCGGCGCATTTTCCTGGTGAGGGTTCATTTTGGAAATGGTCCCTTTTTTTTATTTTTTGCTGGTCAAAAAAGATGGTTCCATATCATTGGGGAAAAAAAAAAAAAAAAAAAAAAAAAAAATCGAAATGGGTTTCACAGGATAAAAGAATAAATGAAAACAAAAAGAAAGACAAGAAACAACGTCGTGTAAGCGCGTGGGGCGAGGTCCGAAAAGTTGTATGTTCGTAATTTGTCGGTATGTCTTCTCAATTTGGCGAGCGTGTCTTCCTGCCGTTGCCACTTCTTGACCATGCCACTCCCTGACCGTGCCACTCCCCGACCATGGCACTGCTCACGTGAAGACCTTAAAAAACTTGGTGGCCCTGAAAATGTCGCAGTACCTGAAGTAGAAATACTGGTACGTGGCCTCGAGAGACTTAAAAAGGTAAAAGTTCAAAAGTTGGAAGAGGAAGACAAAGACGTTTTGTATTTCCTTGGCGATTTTCTTCTTCTCTCGTAACAAAAATGATACAGCGGCACACAGGACGTTCTTATATGCCTTGATCAACTTGAGTCCGTTCGACACATTTTTTTCTATTACCATTTTCGTATTGTATATGTACAAGAAAGGGTTGTTTAAAAAGTGCTTCACATTTTTTACGCACAGTTTGAGGAATAAAGAAAAAATGTCAAATGTGATAAAGCATAAAAGCAGCAAATTATGAATTATGGTTAAGTATTTTTTTACGTTATATTTTTCTGTGACATGTTTCTTTTTGTTTTCATATGAGTTGAGGAAGGAGTCGTATTTTTCTTGTATGTGCATCATTTTATTTTTTTCAATTTTACTGTAAAACCATTTCTTCGCATTTTCATTGAAGTTGATATAATTTTCGTAATTTTCTTTTAGTTCTTCTTTTGTTTTGTCCTTTTTCATTTTAGCAGTTGTCGTTTGGATGGTGCCTTTTGGTGGGGTTGCTTTGCCGGCGTAGTTGCACGGTGGGGTCAGCTTGGTGTTACTTGGGGGGTCGCTCTTGGGCTTCACCCTTGTCGTCTCTTCGCCTTCTACTCCAGCGCGATCTGCTACAGGCCCCTCGTGTGCTTCTGGGGGGTGCAGCAGCAGCGCGGGTACGTGGGGATGGGTGCGCATACACGTTGTCGTAAGTTGGCATACACGTTGTTGCAAGTGGGCATACACGTCGTTGTAAGGGAGCATACACGTTATTGTAAGTGCCCACACAAGTGGAGGACGCTCACAAAAGGGGTGTGCACCAACGGACAAGCGCCTGAAGGGCGCAAAACCGAACGCATCAAACAAACGCGACAACCGCGATGAGGAGTGCCGTACAGTAGATCTGCACACAGTACTTACAATTGCAACGGAAAACAAAAAAAAAAAAAAAAAAAAAAGGGTGGGCAACACAACGCAGCAGAAGGAAGAACAAAAAAAGAGAGAAACAGAACGGAGGGGCACTCCCAACGCGAAACA